GGCCACCCCTTTCCACAACAGCCAGTCCTGCAGGGATTTACATCCACTGGGTGCATCTGTGTTTCACCTGAGATTCCCTGGATCCATCCATTAGCCCCATGGGCTTGTTGGCTGCAGAAGTTGCTGCGAAGCTCCCCTGACACGAGGGTTAGGTGGGCAAGCAGGCGCGTGCCCTCTCCCCATCTGGAAACTGGAGAAATCCCTGATACCTTTCAAGGAAGTACAAATGTTTCAAAAATACCCTGCCTTTGCTTTTGGTGGCATTTCTTCCAGTTTGCACGGATCTGCACAATGGTGTGCAGTGCCCAGAGCCACGATGGAGGATACGTACGTTTATATTTGTCTGGTCCCATCTACACCAGCGAGCCCTTGAAATGTAGCCTAGCTGGCAGATCTGGTCAGGCTGGGAAAATTTGTTTTAGATGGGTTTTTGTTTGTTTACAACTGATCTTGGCCGCAGACAGGGACACACAGCTGGAGGTCTGTGCTCCGTGGTCAGGCTGAGGCAGGGCTCTGAGCCTGCGAAGGCTGGAGTGAGGCTGAGCTCTTCCAGCTTACTCCTGGCTTAATGTGGAGAGGCTGCTGCTCTGCTGCCTGCTCCTGCGGGCTGCGGTCCAGGGGCCTGGCTTGGCTTTGCCTGTGCGGGCAGCAGCACCCAGCACCCATCTGTGGCTGTGGCTCAGGGCAGGCGCACGATGGACCCCTCTGCCCACTCCAGACGTGCTTCTCCCACAGACCGGAGAACACCTCTCACTGTTAGCAGTAACTGTTTTAATACAAATATTGCACAAATATTGATACCGTTCTTTGTCTGCTAATTATAATAGCATTAGACAGGTGGGAGAGGTGTGTGTCTGAAGCCGAGCATCTGAGAGGGCTTTGCAAGTGGCTTTTGTGAGACGTTTGTGTGCCGGTGCGGTTTGTGCTGGCTGCGGGACCCGTGTGAGCAGCTATTGGCACAGCTCAAGCAGAAATGACACAGTGCAGATTTCTAATGATACTGATGTGCTGCGTGCCAGCCTTGAACTTCAGGAGACCCATTTTGGGGACCAGGGAGAAGGAGCAGCGCCAGCCCATTCATGCTGCTATCCCAGAATTATGGCAGTGCTTTCCTGCAGCAAGGTCGTGATGAAGGATGGTGGAGGGGGAAGCTGCCGAAAGCCATGCCCTTCCAGGCAAGACCTGTTTCCCAAACGTGCGTTAAACAGCGGCAGACTCCCACAGGTGTGGGCGTGGGGGAACCTGTTAAATTACAGCCAAAGCCTAACAAGAGAGATGTTTGCTTTGGAAGATAACATGTACCTGTTCTGTGCACTGAGGGCGAGGAAACTCCGAGACGTGTTTTACTTCATTACCACAGTAGACCTTTTGCACTGCAAAGCCACGTAGCTCCCCTTTCTCCCCCCTACCCCTTCCCTTTTAAGATCAGGTTTCTCCCTCAGCTTTACCAGGGCGTCCAGTCCGACAACCCAGAAGCATGCCACATGGTGAGGATTGCTCCTTTTCCTCCATCAGTACATCTCGCTGTGGAGCTCCGTGTACCACACTGCCCAAGTTTGGTGCCCGGACTGATGCGGTTACTAAGACGCCTGGATCTCCGGTACCTGCAGCCTGGTCAACGGCCGGAGACGAGGGAGAGGCATGCTCCCAGCAAGGCACCCTTCCGTCGGGCTGCTGTAATGAGCCAGCTTCCTTACCTGCCTTGCTGCTGGTCCCAGAGAGGCTGCAGGGATGTCTGCTGCTTTATTTTCTTAAATGGTGCCTAACGAGGGCAGTTAAGAGCCTACCAGGAGAAAATGGGCTCTTCGGGCAGAATTTCACGTCTTGCATGAAAGCTTTATCGGATTAACTTTGTACTAGAACTGCCATATACTTCCCTCGCTGGAGAGGCCGATCTAGCTTAACTGTGGGATAAAAACTTTACCACCATGTTTTTGTCACGCAGGTGACTTGCATAAAAAAATCTTTGCATGCATTAATGTCATCTGAGTTTTGGCACCGCGAAGCAGGCTGTTTCTCAACGATCTCGGTTTTGATCTTAATGCTGCACTTATCCCAGTGTGAAGTATGTAACTCTCTTGCTTCACTTCTTGTTTTCCACGTTAGGGACAGTGTATTTCCCCTCCCGACGCCCCTTGCAAATGTAGCGGTGCTGTGAGAGGATTCCCCCGGCCCTACCGTCGCTGTTCCAGCCGTGCCTTTTGCCCCTGTGGCAGCTCCAGCTGGGCAGCACTGCCCGCCGGCGGGGGGGACTTGCATACTTTCAGCTACTTCCCCATTATTTACACATGAAGTTAATAACTGACTCAAGAGTATATCTACAAAAATTTCTTTAGGGCTGCTCTTGGTAAAATTTTCCCCTCTCAGCCACAAAGTTCTTGTTTTCTGTAATTTCCTTCCTATATTTTCCCTTAACCCTAATCCATTTTAACATTAATGTGTTCATTTTGAAACAGCCAGTGTATTCCCAGCCTCTTCTTCTCCCTTACCTGCTGATTATTTCTTTTTTTCACTGTCTTCTATCTCTACTTTTGTTGTTTGCAAAAAATGGCTTTTCCCCTCCCTCTCCCTCTTCACAGCTCCCACCATCTGTCTCTCCACAAATACAAAGCTTTAGGGGAAATGATTCACTAGGCTGCTAGCTCATTACTCACTCTCTCCCCATCACGGTTTCTGTCCTTGTAGGATGCTCTAACTAATGTAAAGATCAATGAATCCTGGGAATTGTTACTCAATTAAAAAAAAAAATAATGCCCCAGCAGTTAAATAGATTGGGCTCTTTGTACTTCCTAAACACCGACGCTTAGTATTTCTTTCTCACTCTGCTAGCATTGTTTTTCAGAAAAGGATCAGTGGCACAGAAGAACAGAAGTGATCACTGGACCATTTAAGGCAACCTTGTGTATCACATGATGCAGGAGTTACTTAATGAAATTCCCTGGCCCAAACCAAGCAAATCTGTGGTAAATCTAGAGCACATATTTTAGGATGACAGCCAAAATGACGAAAGGAATTTACTACCCAGCCTCGCTAATCATTTTGAATGCTTAACTGCACTCCCTCATATGCTGCTTTGCAAGCAGCAGAACTGACCCAGCCTCGTTCCCCGCAGATTTCTCTCCTCCAGCCCTACTCGGGCTGCGCGCCCCGACAGCCCTCCCAGCCTGTGCCCGCCCTGGCCGGGGGCACGTTGGCGGCTGTGACTCCTGCGAGCGCTGCCTGGCCCACTGCCCACCTCTGGGAAGGGACCCCCGCAGGACCCCTCCCCAGCAGGCAGGTTTGGGGCTGGCTCTTTGCTCGGGGAATTAGTTCCATGGAACTCGTAGGCACTTAATATCTTTGAGGTCCTCCCTATTAAATGTTGTAGAAGTTGGCTAAGGGGCTCAAAAGCCGCTTGAGACAGACTAGGCCACAGTGTTAAAACACTTCAGGTACCTTAAAATACCCGAGTCAGCCCTATTGAGTTGGCAGATATGCCATAGCATGGCAGGAGACCTGCTCAGCCCGGAGGCTGCGCTCAGTGCTGTGGGACACTCCATGGGACCCTAAACGTTGACATTTAGGTACCCACATCCCACTCCTTTTGCCTTCCCTTTGTTCACCTTTTAAGAAGGATTTCTGTCATGATTTTAGGCTTGTCACCGTATACTAGAAAGTTATTTTCTTAATTAGAAGCTTAGTTTTTCATTTGCTCACATGGACAACGGACCTCCCATCCCCACACATGTAGGTAACAAGAAGTACCGCTACCTGATGCAGTTTTCTTGTGCCTTGTCAGGAAGCTGCCGGCATGGCAGCTATTAGCCTATTTCAGTTGTTGAGCCTCCCTTTTGAAACTAGAGTTGTAAGAAGCACAGCAAATGCCACAATCAAAATGACAAGAATTGACAACACTGAATACACCCTTCTCCCAGCTCCTAAATGGCTGCAAGTCTCTGCAAAAGCCTGCGAAAGGCAAATCTGACTGTACCTGCAAGGTGGTGGTTCAGTTGTTTCTCGTGAGCACCACAAAGCACAGATCCTGCATCAACACCTTCATGGAAAGCTAATTAAATAATTCGGGTAATGTAATAGGAGTATTAACTTCTAATTTACTAATTTACTGTTTGGACTACCAAACACATGTACCTTTTTATAAAGCTGTGTTTGGGTCGTTCTGTAACAAATTATAAAGCTGAGGAGGATCTTGGAAAGCGCCTGCCTTGAGTAGACACAAAGTGCTTTGTGTCAGAGCAGGACACCTCGTACGACTACTCTAAAGGATAAGGGCTGCAGAATTTTAAGCCAACAGGGTCCACTGTTACCTCAGTAAGGTTAAGGCAGTTTTAAACAAAGAACCCTCACCAAAGTTGTACTTATGTGCTCTGTAAAAAAAAAACCTTCAAATTTTAGCAGATGTGATGTTGTTGAGCCTTCCTGGTTGCCAACACCCCGTGGCTCTCCAGCATCTTCCGTTATTTTACTGTTCCATACTGCGTACAAGTCATAGGAGTCAACGTTCATTTCTTTTAACAGTTGCTGGCTTTCCAAATGCCAGTTGTCCTCTGACATGCTCTGTTTTAAATAAGGGCTGAAGAGCAGTAATGAAGCTAAAGGCCTGCTATAAAAACACTGCAGCGTTCCATGGTACTGACAGCCCACGCGTAGCCATGCCTTTAGCTCTCTTTTTGTGGGCTATTGCTGCAACGCGCTGAAGGTGTGAGGGGCCGAGTGTAAGGAAATGGAACTCCGGAGACTTCGGATCTGAGAGGCCTCTAATTGAAGACAGTGTCTTTATGCAAGACAGGCTAAGGAAAACTTGCGTTACCCAACAGTTACCATTCCTCCGTTGTTCCCAGCAATAATAAAAGCTGACGCAATGCATAAGGTTGCCTTACAAAAGGCGAATATATTTAATAGTGTATATACAAATTAACTGTTCGATAATGTTATACAAGGCAGGAATATCTTTAAAGAAAACCTGAGCAAAAAGGAGGATGTAATTTTTGTTTAGACTTACTGCAACATTATTTCTGGTATTTGTTTGCTATATCAACTAATAAAGGAAAATGTTAAAAACAGATGTTAAAATAAAACTGGACATTCTTTCAATTTGCAGCTTATTTAGAAATCTGGAGAAAAAGAGTTCTGCCTCATCAGCTTCAGAAGTAGGTGTTTAACGTGGTAGAGAACAAGCCGAGCCTGAGTTACCCAAGACGACCAATTCCTTTAGCAGAGAGAGTGTCTTCTGTCATCAAAAAGAGCCATCTGGAAGAGCATCGGCTCCCTGCCAAGAACAACCCTTTAACAACTGCCTGTCCTGCACTTTAAGTAATAATGTTCATAACGGCACAACCTGGAGTGTTGGTAAAGGTCCTATCGGAGGAGCAACGTATTCCTCCTCCCTCAGTAACCGCAAAAGGATGTTCTTCTTATTCTTTGGCCAGTTATAAATGTGAGTGTTCTGCAGCCAGGTGGGCACGTGTTCCTGAAAAACAAGGGGGGAAAAAAGCGAAATCCCGTAAATCCTCCTGAATCTGTACCAGAACCTTGCAGATTCCATCAGACCATGCCAAGCAAGATTTCGTTTTGTCTGTTCTAGGCACTTCCCGTAACAACAAGAAATTTTAATTTGGCTTCAGAATTGTATTTGGGTTCCTAAATAAATGAACTTTGTGTGATCTCACAGCTTGTCTGTCTCTCTGCCTGCCTGCCATCACGTTGGTAATTTCACCACATTTCAAAGGGAGTCTGATCTCAGTGGCGAGCATCTAAAGGCTTGCGAGAGTAAACACTGAGAAGAGAAGGGAGACTTTTCAGTGCCCCGACCAGGGAAAGGCTGCCACCTTTGTAGCTGCTGAAGGATCCACACATGTTCAACCCTGAGATGAGAATCGGCAGGGAAATAGCAGGACCCCAGGGAAGCGTTTCTCATCCTGGCAGCCTTCTCCCCCTCCCTGTGCACCTTCCTTCACCAAGCGTGGTGCCCTCCGGCCACCTCCTGAGCAGGAGGCTGAGGCCGATGCTGAGCTCGAGGAGAGGCCAGTGCATCTCCCGACGAGCAGGGTCAAACCTCCACCCCTCCCTGCATCTGGGGAAAGATGCAGCCTTTCAGAGGGGTTGGCTAATGGCTGTTAACATAATGGACCTGGGACCACTGTGGCCCTGGACAGTGACAGCGGGCTGACGGAGAGGAGCCTGCTCAGACCTCGTGTTCCTGTGTCTCCACAGCCTTGGGAGGTGTCCATGTGGACAGCCTGGCTGTGTAGGGGTGAAGGGCTATTACCATGCCACTAATTAAAAGAGGGTCAAAGACTGATCCTTGACCAAAACCAGCTCATGTCCACTGTGGAGGTGGAGATTTCCTTCTGGAGAGATGTTGTTGGAGACACCAGAACACAGCCAAAGTGAGCCAGCAGGTAAGCAACGTCAGCAATCAAGACATCCAGCACTTGCTCCCTGGACCTCTTATTTAGCAGGGCAGTATCTTCCCAAGGTGGCCGCTGTTAGGAGGAGCCCAGCCCCTGTCAAGCCGGTGGAGCTAGCTCCGAGGGGACAGAGCGAAAAGCTGCTGCGGTGTACCACATCGCTGGCACCTCACCAGGGGATGCCCGGGCATGGGCAGCTCGTCTCCTGCCTGCCAGCAAACAACCTAGCTGCCGGCCAAACCTTTCATTCCCCGGCCTCATGCTTCTCACGCTGGCTGTCTTTTCCTTGGCCTGTACAGCCGTAGGAACGAGGCTGCATTGTTTCCACTGCTCAGGGAGCGGTTTGTGTTAACTGATGCAACCACGTTGTTAGTTCTGTAGGATTTATGTGTAAGGGAGGAGGGGAGTCACACAGGCAGCTGCGGACCCATCAGTCTGACCTCACCTAGGTGTCTGAACAAGCAGCTTGGTGAGTGGCAGAGGTACCTACCAAGTCTGGCCGTCATTGTCCTCCAGTGGCTGAGAAAGTATAGGCTTTGGCCAACGGTCTCCCCAAAGTGGGGATTTAAAAATGCTGCTCTTCCAGGTGGACACCTCACTGCCCAGCAAGGGTAAGACCTCACAGCGTTCCCTTTGGTAGGAGCACAAGTAAGAGTTCTTGCCTCTACCTGCAAGGCTGGTTTTGCACACGGATGGATTTTAATCTTTGTGAACTTTACTCCTTTGACAAAGCTTTGTGAAATTGGCCAAGAGATTCAAATGTTACTGGGAGAAAGAAAGAGGACTCTGTGTGCGTGCACATGCACACCTTTAGTACGTAAAATGTTTCTTTACTAAATCTTGTTAAGAGCTATAGAAGGAAATGCAATGAAATACAGCAAGTGTTTACCAAAGGAGCCCTCTCTCTGCCTTTGATAAGAAACTACCTTTTTTGGAGGAAGGCAATGCAGTAGACGTAGTTGGTCTGGACTTCCGTAAAGCATTTGATGTAAGTCCACATGGGAAATCATTAGTTAAGCTTGAAAAGATGGAAATTAGTGTGAGAAATGCAGGTAAGAAACCAGCAAGTGGGGATATAATGAGAGAGGCACTACACATCCAGAGACAGGCTCTGCGCCTTTCTTCCAGAACTGCTCCTGCAGCCAATTTCGTTTAATATCCTCCATAATGAACTCGGTGCAAAAAGCACCTGCACGCTAATCAACTCTGGCAATAATTGTAACTTGAGGGAGGCGTGCAGGGGTAAAGGAGTAACTCTGGCTGCTGGTTTGATCCAGGAGAGCAGAGAAGGCAAGGAGGGGGCTTTTCCTTGCCACGCAACACCGGCTGCCATTGCGGGTGGGAGTAATGGGAAAATGGTTACCGCCCTTTTAATTTTTTTTATTTGGCTGTGTATCTGTAAGCCGAGAGGAAATTCTCTCTATGCCGTAGAGGGAGTATTTGATAACTCTGCGGATCAAACTGGTAGGAAGAGGCAGAGCGTATTAGTGCAGAGGGCAGGGCTGCGCGTTCAGGGCCGCGCTGGCGGAGCACGGTTGGAGCTCTCCCAGCTTCCAGACACCGACCCTGCTCACCTCAACCCCCGGTGCCTCTGCTCTGCCAGAGGCAGCCTCCAGCCCGGGGCGGTCCCAGCTTGCTGCTTCGGTCCTCGGGTGACCAGATCAGGAGGACACATTCCTGTCGGCTGGCTCGACGCAAGCCTTGAACCAGCAAGACCCAGGTTTCCTTTAGCAGTGTACGGTGGGAAGCTGGAAATGCCAGTTCCACCTTAACTGTGTGGTGTGCTTTTTCCCCTCATTATTCAATTTCCTAATGAACGCTCTTCGGATGACAGAGATCCCTTCCTGTTGGAGGTCGACTAACTTTCACGTACCAGCAGTGCTTTATGATGTGCTTTGTATGAGATTAACTCATCTCATAGCCACATCCCCAGATGAAACCTTCCAAACCCTTCCTTTCCTGCTGTTTTCCGCTGCCAGCTACAGTAGTACTTGAACATGTAAAGGACAGTATAAAAAAGATAAAATGAAGTAATTTGCCTGCCGACATCATCCAACTGTTCCTATACATGGCGTTTTTCAGGTACCTCGCTTCCTCCGACTGCCCACAGACTTCGTTTTTGCAACTTGTTCAGGCTCTGGTACTCTCCTTTCACCCCTGATGTCCTCCGTTATATTATCATTAACTAGTTAGGTGAAGGTCGATGATGTACCAAAGAAATGTGTGGAGAAAGACAGCAAAGTTTAACAGCAGTAGAAAATGCCGATCTGCATAATTTAGATGAGAACGGCACCTCTGAAAAAACTGAAGGGTGATGCAGACTACAGCGGATGGGCAGGAGGGCTGCCTGGAGCCTGATGCTTTGAGAGGAGCAGCTGAATAAACCAACCCTGGAAATTCCTTACAGATCACTGTCTGAGAGAACCGCTGCTATATGCTAAATAGTCTTCTGGTACGTCAAGTTCAGCCAAAATTACCGTAAGTTTATTGTTCCACCTCAAAGCCCCGAGGCAGCTGTGGTGCCTGCTGGGCCACTCCTCTCTGCAGCCCCCAAGGTGCCGAGTGCCTGCTGGGGCTGTTCGCGTGGTGGGCGCCGGCGGAGCCCCCCAGGTTCGGAGCAGGCCTGCCCTCGCCCCTGGCCGAGCTGCAAAGGCTGGCGGAAGGTGCTGGCAGAAGGTGCTGACGGCTCTGCCTTTGGTCTGCCCCGTTCCCCCGGCGCTGCCTCCCAGCTTTCCACACTTGGGGCAAGTACCGGACTGAGCTCCCTCAGGAAGGGCGCTGAATGACATGGAACACCAGAGGGACTGTGCATTCCAAAGGACCACACATATTTCACAAACCCAGGGACGTATTTCCAAATTTCTGAGCTTATGTTAAATCGGTGCCTAAATAAAGAACTTCGTTACGCTAAAATCCACAAATGCAGTGGGACTTCACAGCCCTGCAATCATTGATAGCATTATTTAAATTTTGACTCATGTTCCAAAATCTGGGCACCCAAAGAAATACAAAGAATCTTTCCATACTTCTCCAAAATGCAGCTGTACGTAGGGGTAACATGACAGCTACCCAACTGCGCACACAGCATTTAGTGACGAAAAGTGAACACGAATACAGTACATCCATTCTATGTTTGGAGAAGAAAGCAATTTCTCAGCTATAACTGAAGCCGTTGTAACTTTTCTGGCCTTGTAAAAATCCAAGAGATTCTCTCAGAGTGAGGAAGAAGAGATGGGAATCTGTTGCATTACTTATTTCTTATTCTCAAATGCATCTTCAAAACCAGTAAGGAGGGCAGACGAAATTGCAAGTCCTAAAAATCCTTATAGTTTGCCTTTGATGGGCCCATCAAAGCTCGAGCAACGGCCTAGTGCTTTAATATTTATTATCCTCTTTATTTTTATATTCTCAACCCACCCTCTTCCAGATCCTCACTTCACATCAGTCGTAAATCTCTCCCATCTCACTCATCGGCATTACATCTGGACAAAATTATAAAAGGGTTAATATAAAAAGCATGCTTGCTGGATAGATTGTCTCTCTCCATTTAAATTCTTTCAATGCTCAAGACAATTTGACTTTTAGTTATACATTCATCATCAAATACATTTATGTGCTGATTTATATTGTGGATGAAATGTTTTTTATTTGTATGTACATAAAACTATAAACTTTTCATGTAAAATGTAGCTTTCGAATATTACTAGTGGTATGTTAAGAACCAAGAAATTGAGGGCTTGGGTTTTAAGATTTCATCTGGTGCACTGTGATCAAAATAACATGTGCTTAATCATGCGACAAGTATATATGCATGTAGGTGTGTTACCTTTTTGGCATTTGGAAACAGCACAGGGATGAATCTGAAGTTCATACTTCCTTGTTGTATAAACTCGATCTGCATCTAGAATAGAACAAATCGCCAGATTTACTGTAATGACACGTTACTTTTTCTTTGCATGCATCTGAATGCTATGTGTAAAAACATTTGTTGCTTACTTAAACTGCTCTTCTGTTAAGTGATTTGATCTATTGCTGGTGGACTCGGTATCGTTTTGTTTGGCCACTTAATCTGATTCTTCACTACTACAGAAAGGATACAGGGAAGATCTGTCAGCATTTCTTGAGCGTTTATTCTGTGGTGTGAAATAATTGTGGGTTTAGCTGCAGTTGCAATCCCATGAAATCCATCTAGAACCAACAAAGCTTGATGTGGCCACGGCCCCTGTTCAGTCTCCAGCGGGCTGGAAGATTTCAGTCAGAGGCCGGCTGCGTGTCCAAGCTGGGCCCCAGCCTGTCCCCCGTGTCCCCGGGCACAGGCATCAGCGAAGTACCGCTGAGAGCTCATCCCTCGGTGACAGCTTCCAAGGAGTCTGACCGCGGGGTCCAGCTGGGGAATGGGCTGGGTTACAGGGTGGGAAAGGCAGCAAACTGGGAACTGAGGGTGGGAGCAAGGACGAGTTCCCCGGCTCTGTGGGCTCTTCTGGGCTCGACGTCCATCCCATGGCAGACTGCAGGGATGGGCGTCTGTGACCCCACTGGTCCCCTGCCACCCCGCACCCCCTTGGCATCCCCGGCCTTCGCTGTGCAACTCGGCCGTTCGGTCAGCTTCACTGCTGCCCACAAACCGACCTCAGTTACAGGGGGGCTGAAGCGATGCAGCTGGTTTATAGGGAGGAAGGTCAGGCTCTGTTAGATTAGGTGGTGCTACGGGCTGTACAACAGGGCAACGAGGGCTCAAGAAGGTGAAGGAGGGCAAAAAAACCCCATCGAACGATAAAGAATATGAAGAAATAAGATGAGCATGTTTAATAGGATTTTTCTTCCTTGAACCTCTTAGCAGATGTTAATGAGCATATGGAGCTGATGAGAGGGAGGATTAATGAATTCCAAAGGGGGGTGTTTAACTATGGGGATTAGGGAAAACAAAGCAAAGAACCTGCGATTTGGAGACAAATTTGTCTTTTGAGAAGAAGAGATAGAGTCTTTGTAAAACAGCAAATGCATGTCCTTGCTTACCATCCTGTGGATGTATTTAGTATGTAAGCCGTGTTCATCCCTGTCCAGCTGGGATTCAGCCCCTTCCACATCCTGTTTGTACTTCGGACTGATTGCTATGATTATCATCACCGTCTTCTGTTGGGGAGAAAAGCACTCCTATGAAATTGAGAAACGCAGTGTGTTTGGTAGAGGCAGATCGGAAATCTGCCAGTTTGTTTTAAGTGATCTTTATGTTCTTGGCAAACACAAGAGGATCTCATTCATTCTGGCAGGAAATAGGGGAGAACTTGCACACTCGTTCTCCTCATTATTTCTCGAGATCTCATAATATAGAAAATCTAAATGTCAAGAGTTGTATCAGCAGCTACCAGTTTACAGTTGGAATCCCTATAATAAAAAGCTACTTTTTAATCAGTGTAGCGTGTCTATGTACATACACAGAAAAGTTGTATGTTCAAATTCAGACCTAAATGTTTTCCAACAACTTCTGTAAAAGCTCATCTATTTAACCATCTATGGCTTTTTATACACAAAGCCACTAAAGGCAGGTGTCTATGGAATGCAGGGCTCTCAGCAGCAGCAAAGACACCTTTTCGTGCCGAGCTTAGCGGCGAAGGGTGCAGAGAGGGGGCTGTGCAGAGAGGTGGGCCGTTGCGGACGGCCTGGGCAGGTTTAGGGGTACCTGGCAGCTCTGTCCCACCTTGCCGCGGGGGGCCGAAGGCAATGCTCCTCACCTTCCCGGGACAGCCCGGATCCTGCCTGGGACCTGTTTAATCCCAGGCCCCCCCTGAGCTCAGGTTTCCACAGAGGGGCTATCCTTCATATCTGGGAAACGTCTCTCCTCCTTAACAGTGGGCTGATGAAGAGGCAGATGAAAGCCTCCTACTTGTGTTTACCTAGGGCCTGTCTTTCATCCCTGCCACGTCAGGCCGTGTAAGGCTTCCCAGTCTGTGGCTCATAGTCAGCCTGGCACCTAATTAACTCTTTCCTTCTGTGCAGTATCAAGGGGATTTGCCCCACACAGGGTCAAATACAGTAAGGAGCCATTATCCCTTACACAGGCTTAACATACTCCAGAATTACTTTAGCTTGTGCCTGGCATGCATATAAGCTCTTAGTGATGTTGAGGATTCACAGAGATGTGCCCGGTTGCCCGGTGTCCAAGCGGTCCCTTCTTGCGTACCTCACACGCATAAGGATTTTGAAGTTAGAAACTGCCTCTACAGCCAACAGAGGAAAATAAACATTTGTGGGACGGGCAGTCAGAGAAGGGTCCTCGTGTGGAGGCAGGGAATCGCTCTCTGCACATGCTGGTCTCTCCTACTGACTGTGCAGGAGTCTCAAAGGAGATCTGCCACTTTGTATTTTAAGTGAGAATGATGTTCTTGGCAAAAGCAAATTCACCCTGGCTTCTAGTTTTGGTACTGCCACAACACACGGTGAGCCCAAGCCTGATTTGCCCTGACGAAAGCCCCAAAAGGGAGGGCTGCGTGGCCGCAGCAGAAGCCCCAGGCTGGCTCTGCAGGCAGCAGGACCACGCCTGGGTGGAAGTGCTCTTGAGCTGAGCTGTCCTGCAGGAGACCTTCGGGCAACCTGCATGTGTAGCGCTGTCTCCGACGGCTGAGCTTCCTGGCTCAGGTGGGGAAGAGCCCACCACCACTTTGTCAACCTCTTCCTGAACCAAGGGGATCTGCCCAGAGCGAGTCAGATGCCTGGTGGCTACCCAGCAAGGCACGGATCAAAGGAAGCCACCCCACGATGGCATGCGTCGAGCGACAGAATCGCCAGTTTGGGTCCGGCTGTGCTGGTGTAATGGGACCACTTGGCTCGATCCTAAAGGAGAAGAGCACTCGCTGCTCGGCTGAACTCTGAGGGAGTTGTTGCTGTGGAGGACTGCACTGGCGGCAACATAAATCTCTGTTTTACCACTTAGCTACAGAGTGATGAGAGCAAATCTATCATCCGACTAACAGAATACCAATTTCCAGTTTACATATAGGATGGTTTATCCAGAAGAAGCCTTCAGTGTTTTAAATAGCAACATAAAAGGTACAGGTGAGAAGCAGGATGAACGCTAGGCACTGCTGTGCAGCCTGGGATGAAATACAGATATCGTTTTAACCAAGCACAGCTAAAACCCACTATTTAAAAATGAGATGGAGGAACAACTTGTCCGATGGCAGCTTCAGGCTGAATGTAACAGCCAGCATTGGAATTTGGCAGAAATGCCAGGATTAGCACTTCATTTCTTAAAAAAAGGGCTTTGGGACCATAAGATACGAGTGAGATTTGCCTATGCTCTCTCTGCAAGGTCTCGGCCATTTCTCTAGGGGCAAGAAAGATGATAGAAGGGTCTTGCATTTTGATTCTGCTCCGGTTGCTCTTAGAATAATTCAACCATTTTCCTCAGGTCACCTCTGCCATGAACAAGGTTAAATTGCCTTTACATACATCACCTAGGTAGCGCTCCATCCACTTAATGATGTCAATACCTCGTACCGTGTCCTCAAATATATCAATCTGCAAGAGAACAAAAGTCTGTGGTGAGCAACCTTTCACCTTTCCTCCCCATCTGGTGGCACTGAGAAGGCGCCGGCTCTCTTCCCTGCTTTCTAACAGGCATGCCTAATTCCCTGAGGAAAGGAACGTGTACGTGCAGAACTTCTGCCCTTTCCCTGCAGCCCAGAGTCGAGCTGGACAGGTACCCCAGGCAGGCGGGGGGGCTGCTGCAGGCACGGCTGGGCCCCTGCTCCGCCGGCCGTTCGACTGCCCGCCGCCCCCCCGCCAGCTCCCAA